CGGACAGGCCTCATGTCTGGATAAGCTGCGAAAAATATCTTTACAAACTGATCAGCTGCTGAACACTGTTGAATGGGTCAAACTTGATTAGCAATACATGAAATTACGCTAAACAGATCTTCAAAAAACCCATGGCAAAGGTGATTGATCGCTTAGGCCTATGATGAAAAGTTGGGTTTCGAAGAGCCCCTCAATAAAGTCATTTTGTTGAACCTTTCATTTGGCCTAAAAATGTGGGTGATGGAGTCTACTAATTTTAGCCTCGCATGAAACTGAAGGAAGATCGTTTTGACATTGTGACGGTGGATCGGAAATTTGTAGGCCTCGATGCATGCTCCTGAGATTCTGATGAATACGCCAAGTAAAAATGTGCATGATGAAATATTTTTAAAGAGTGGATTCTTCTTATGACAATGCCCATCCTAACTGGCCCAGAATCGAATTACCGTGCGCCGAAGACTTGCAATGTTAAGACGATTTTCTTTCGGTTTCCAGTGGCACCACTTTAAGAAGCTCCATCATCCACCTTTTCAACCTAAATGAATATTTCATAAACATGAAACTATTGAACGAGTCTTCGAAACCTGGCTACTAGGAATGTCTACAAAGCATAAGGTGCCCCATCAACTGGAAAAAGTATTGTTATTAAGGGGGATTCTACTACTAGTCCTTCATCACCTTAGACGAAATAGGTTGAATACATCTCATATTACTGATGTATGGTAGTCTCGAAACTCTACTCCATTACGAAAATGGGTAACGTAGTCGATTGTAATAGCATATATACATTTGCTTCATCGGCAATCCCACCAAAGAATATGATTTGGCAAAAAGGCCTGACATTCTTTGAAATTCACTGTGACTCAAGGCTACTCGTGGCAATGTGGTCGAGTGGTTAACGTGTCAAGCTCCCATTCTGCACTGTCACGGTTCGACTCTCGCAGGGGGAGTTGCTAAGACCGATGCGAGGAAGAAACTGCAGTCCACCTTGGATGAGAACAACTTTTGGGAAAGCAAGGCAATGTGAAATGCAATGGAAACGTCAGCTCTACTCATATCATGGTGTAAAAATTCTTCTTCTACCAGTCCTTCATCACCTCAAACGAAATTGGGTGAATACATCTCATATTACTGATT